GGATTTTCTTTTAAGCTATGTATTTAATTTTTTTTTTACAAAGCAATCTTATCCCCGTCAAAGTACTCTCCATTATATTTAATATATTTGTCAGCTCTGTGACTCTATTCTTGGAAACATCTTTCAAACTCATCTGTTTGGAAGACTGGCAGCACCTCCCTCATTGTTTGCTTCACCTCCTCTATGTTGTCAGATTGCTGTGTTTTCATGTCTCTTTTCATTCATGGAAACAGAAGTCAGGTGAGTCAGGTGAACGGGGCAACAGAGGCAGGCTGCTTTTGCCAAAAACTGGTGCACTGAGATGGCTGCATGAGCAGGTGCATTGTCATGATGTCAAAATTATTCCCCTATGTGCCACAAATCAGGCCTTTTTTGTAGTATACTGTCATAATCTTTTCAGAATCTCTAAAGAGAAAGTTTGGTTAACAATCTGACCTGGTGGAACGAACTCCAAACGCACTATAAGTCAACATTTTCAACCATTCAGGAAGCTCACAGACACCCAAATCAAGGTTTTCCATCAATTGATATTTGACCTTTTTCGAAATAAGAAAACAACTCATACACTTGAGTTTTTCCCATAGCACTGTCCTTGTAAGCTGTGTTCAACATCACAAAAGTTTCTGTGGCATTTTTCCCAAGCAGGAAAAAAAAAAAAATTCACAGCTATACCCTCTTTTCTTAAGTCTACCACCACAAAAAAATGAGGTTTGAGTGAAATTGTTTTTTCGAAGAAATTCACTGTGACCAGAGAGAGCCTTCCCAGGTGATGCCCCTGGGTGTAATTGGAGTGAGTTACTCGATGCTCCCCTAGTGGGGAAAAAGCATACTACTACAAAAGCTCCGCTCCACCCAGAGCAATTCCAGGTTTTGTTTTGTTTTGGTTTTGGTTTGTGGTGGGGGTGGGGGGTTTCTCTCATATTCTCACCCTGGGAAATATTCTGATCTGAGAGTGATACATAAGAATCCCCACCCCAGGATCAAATTGTAGGAACCCAATCTCCCTTTGCTAATAAACATCAGACCTGATGGTGGGATCAAGTCAATAAACTAAAGTAAGTAAAATGTTTGCTACAAACTCATAAATGCCTTTATGAAACAACAATATCGAAGGATGATCTATTGCTTGTTGCCGTATCCTCGATCTCAGATGGTACACATCTGAGGACAATGCTTCCAACTCTATAAGGCTCTCAGGCAAAGTCCTGTACTCTTTTACACTACATCCAGTTAGCAGTGGTTGCCAACCTCATGGGTCTCAAATTATGTAATTTGGGAACGTTCTTTGAGTTTGGGAAACAAAAGGAAGTCTGAAGCGCCAAGAACAGGGCTGTCGGGTAGATGGGGTAAGGTTTCCCAAGAAATTTCTCCTAGGACCCTCCTTGCTATCCTCAAAGAATGAGCAAATAAATTGTCAGGATGGGAAAGAGATTCCGCAGGGCAATTTTCCTGGCCTCTTTTCTCACTCATGTAAATTTCCATTTTCTTAAGCTGTTTCCTGATAAGTCTCTGTGCCCAGCCTGTGTCCTTAGAGAAAATCGATCTAGAGCACTTCCAAAAGGCAGTCACAATAACCACCTGAGCTGACCCCAGGCCTGTTCAAAGTTACTGTTTTCATCGAATCGTTTTTTGTTCTTTTAGAAGCACCCTAATGAGGCTAAGATGAGGGTGCTACCGAGAAAATGTGTCTTCAGCCATTGACTGATCCCAGAAACACCTTTTGTTTGGAATCAGCCCCTGCACATGTGGTACTTGTGTGTACCCTAGTACCAATATTTGTATTGCACCTCAGTAATGATCCTTTTTGACTTATCTTTCTACCTTTGCTTATGGGAGGTAATCCCTCTGGGTCACTTTCCAAAATTTCTCTGGGAGATTCCAACTGGAATACCGGTAGAAAACAAATTGGTAGATTCCAATTTGGAGTAAAAAGAAAAACAACTATCCTTTAGACAGAATGATGAGAGATCAGTGTGCCTATCAGGATTTTTCAAAAGGTAAAGGCCGTGTTGCATAGAAGTGTGTTGCTATTGTATGAGTCCTGCACAGGAAAGGAGAATTAAATTTAGAAACTGACACACAAAGTTCCCAGAGGTCCCATATTTTTAAACAAATAACATGAACGTTATACTTTTCTTTTCCAACCACCCTTTCCCTTAGCTATTTTCAAAAGTGTTCCACGCTCATTGTTTTACATATTGCTATAAAAAAAATTAACCTAGTGCTCATGAAAATACCTTGGTTTGGGAGGGCACAGTTGTCAAAAACCATATAACAAGCACGTTATGGGGAATAAAACCATATACTAGCTAAGGGGGAAATGGATTGGTTTAGACATGTGTGCTGTTCCCATTGTTCTTAGATGTCCTTGAGTAGGTTCTCTTTTATAGTGAGCTCTTATTCAATGGTGTGAAACACTACCCGGTTCTGCACCATCCTCACAATCTTTGGGTCCTTTATTGCAACCAAGATGTCAACTCATCTGCACTTTCTAAAGCATGTCTTTCTCCACAGAATGATCTCTTCTGATAGCATGTTACAAACTCCATGAGATGAAGTCTTGCCATGCTGGCTTTTAAGGAACATTTGGCTGTACATTCTCAAGAAACATTCGTTCATTCTTCTCTCAGTCATGATATGTACATCAAATAGACTTCTGACTAAGAGCTTTCTCTACTAAGTCTTAGAAAAACTTTCTTTCTAAGAGTTACGGTCTTGTAAACCCATGGGGGCAGTTAGTCCTACTCTTTGCTAAGGTATCTCTATGAATTGGAATTGCCTGGATGGTAGTGAGTTTCTGTTTGTTGTTTGTTTCTCTGACAGCATAACTCCAACACATCAATGCTTCTTCAATCTTCTTTATTCATTGTGAAGCTTTTGCCTGCATATAAAATGATGGAAAATACCATAACTTGGGACTGACCCACCTTAGTCCTCAAAGTGACATCTTTGCTTTGGAACACTTTAAAGAGGCATAATGCTGCAGATATGTCCAATGCAGGACTTTCTCTGATTTCTTGACTGCTACTTCCATGGGTGTTGACTGTGATTCTAAGTAAAATGAAATCCTTAACAAATGCAATCTTTTGTTCATTTATCATGCTCCTGCTGGTGGGTCCAGTTTTAAGGACTTTGTTGCTGTTGCTGTTAAAATGTAATCCATACTGAAGACTATTAGCTTTGATTTTCATCAGTAAGTACTTCAAGTCTTCTTCGCTTTCAGCAAGCAAGATTGTGTCACCTGCTTCTTACAAGTTGTTGATGAACTTCCCTTCAATTCCAATGCTGTGTTCTTCTACAGAGCCCAGCTTCTCAGATTGCTTACTAAGTCTACAGAATGGTGATTAAGTATGGAAATAAGGATGCTGAAGAGATACAACCTACACACATATCTTCGTGATTTTGAACCAGACAGTATCCCTTGCTTTGGTTGAGTGACTGCCCCTTAGTCTATGTACAAGTCTTGCATGAACACAATTAAGTGTTCTAAGATTTCTATTTTTTGAAACGTTATCCATGTGTTATGATCCACGCAATGGAATGACTTTACATAGTCAATAAAATACAAGTGAACATCTTTCTATTGTCTTGCCTTTCAGCCAATATCCATTTGACATCAACAACATCCTTTTTCCATATCCTTTCTTAATCTGGCTTGAATTTTTGGCAGTTCCCTCTTGATGTACTGCAGCAACCCTTTTAAAAACGTTGTCAGCAAAAGTTTACCTGCATCCTTTCCACCCTTCGTTGAATCCCCTTGGAATGAGCACAGGTGAAGATCTCTTCTAGTCAGTTGGCCATGTAGCTGCCTTTGAAATTCCTTGACATAGACAAGTGGGCTCTTCCATGTTGCATTTCAATTGGTATCCTGCCAATTTCTGAAATGGAGTTTTTCACCAGTTCCTTCAGTGTAGCTTGGACTTCTTTCTTCAGTACCATCAGCTCTTGATCATAGGGCACCTCCTGAAATGATGGGCCATCTAACATATTCATTTCCTTCTGCTTCAATGTCAACTTGAAGAGGAACGATTGAGAGTGTGTTCTACTGCCAGCTTCTGCCCTTGTTCTGACTGATGCCACTGAGCTCCTCCATTCTCTTTCCACTGATGCAGTGGACTTGATTCCTGTACGTCCCGTCGTCTGGTTAGATCCATATGAATAGTAGCCCTTTACCCATACCCAGTGTCATTTCTGTCACCAAGACTTTGTTTTCCAACAAATGGCCCTGCTTCTTTATTTTTCACTTTCCACATTCCAATGAGTTCCAATCAGTACATTATAATCACATATTTGATCAAGTTCAGCCTGCCAAAGTTGGTACAAATCTTCAATTTCTTCATCATTGGTGCTAGCAGTGCATAAATTTAGAAGTATGTGTGTTACCAAATAACAATTTTGCCACATTCATTTTCAAGTAAAATAAAAACATCCCAGGAGGGTAAAAGATTCACCAGAAAAATCGTTTTGCCTTGAAACATAATTCATAGATCCTATATAACAAAATCCTGTCTCGCTGGGCTCCTTGGTCACAGCTTAAATGAAACATACATTGATTGAAAACTTGTGTCATTTTTTAAGTTTATTGCACAAATGCTCAATTTGAGCCTTTAAAACTCCTGTCCATTTATTTCTTGGTAGTTAGGATATTAAAATATGCAAATAAGCATGCGGTAGTTGGTCAGTGCTAACCTTTTTGTAATAACTAATGCGTTCTCCCAACAGTTGCCATTCCTTCTAGTCACGTCACCTTCACCCAGGAGCCACACGCTGAAGAGAGTCGCTTTTTACTTGATTAAATTTCTGGAGGTTGAAGCTAGGCCAAAAATCCTCACCTCCCTCTTTCCTAAATACTTTTTCTCCTCTCTCCTAATTACATTGCTTTACACTGATTTACATGAATTTCAGCTTTCAAAATCATTGGTCTTTGCTAAATGCAAATGGGCACATAAGAAAATTATATTAAGTTTGCACAATTGATCTTTCATCATTTCAAATGGTACCTTTGAACAGTTCCTGAAGCGTCTGTCTGAAATACTTCCAGCGCTGAGTGTCTTCAAGAGACATGGGGTCACCCTGAGGAAACCCATTCTCTGTGATGTAAATTGCAGGGTTATTATACGTATCCTAGAACAAGAGAGCAGAAGTTTTATTCCAAACAGATGTAAAAAAAAAAAAAAAGAAAGAAAGAAAGAACAAGAAGCCCATAAAATCAGGTGCATAACCTTCTATCTTCTCTCAGCTACAACCCAAAACTAGTTTTCATCAAATTGCACTGACCCTATTAACTTAATTTTCCACGCACTGACCTTTTATGACTAACAATGGAGAAGCCAAACTGTGCAAATGTCCATGAAGACAATCAAATGACTCTTATTATAATAAGAAGTCAGAAATATCTTTCTCCCATCAGCATCTGCTGATTGTCACTGCTCCTTAACCCCTTGGTCCTGCCAGCAGCTACATTCTCTATCCTCTGACAGGAGGAGTCCTGACAACTGACAACCTGAGATTGTCATTTTTGCTGCTCCGATGCCATCCAGCAAAGCTGATGCTAAAAAAGAATTGATCCGTCTCAACACTCGGTGTGTCTTATGACTACCACAGCCAGGATGCCAGTTTAAAAAACCATGGCTAAGCTGCTGGCCACAAGGGACTTCAACAACAAAGTCTAATTTTTGATAGTTAGGAAGAAGCCCAGGTGGCATAGGCTGTTGCTAACCAAAAGGCTGGAGGCTTAAATCCACTCAGAGGCACCGTGGAAGAATGGTCTGGCGATTGGCTTGTGAAAAATCAGCCCTTGAAAAGCATGTGGAGCACCGTTTTGCTCTGACAGCTGTAGCAACACCATGTGTTGGAATCAACCCAATGGCCACTGGGTTCTGTTTTGAGTTTGGGTGTGCGTCAGTTGGAATGGCTCTGTGGGTTAGGGGTTGGACTGCTCACCGCAGGATTGGCACTTCAAACTCATCGACAGCAGAAGGATGAGGCTGTCTGCTCTCAGGAAGATAGACGATCTCAGACACCTCATAGAGGGCCAAAGCCGGTCTTTACAGTCCACCATTCACTCTGAATCTGCTCTTCCTAGGCAGGCTACTGCCTTGTTTCTTAAAACCACTCTTGTTTCAAGTCCATATCTATACACACATATGCCTGCCTTCCACCTCCACCTTCCCAACTTCCCACCAGTGTAGTTGTAGATAACCCAAACCCACCGCCATCTGTCAATGCCGACCCATGGGGACACGACAGGACAGAAAAGAACTACACCTGCTCTCTAGGAGCAGCTGGTGACTTCAAACTGTTGACCTTGCAGAACTACACCTGCTCTCTAGGAGCAGCTGGTGACTTCAAACTGTTGACCTTGCAGTTAATGTTTCAACATGTAACCACTATGTCACCAGGACACCTTGCGTAGCCAGAAACAAATAGTACATTTACCCTGATGTGTTTCAGTAGTTTGCGGATCCCCCATGGTACGATGTAGACCCAGTCTACACATTCCCAAGATGGATCTGGAAAAAATTCAACTTCTGCATCCTGGAGAAGGCCCAGCGCTCCATCCTTGTTCTCCTTGTACTTGACTATGCGAGACGTATAATACTGCACAGCGAAGAAGTCAGCGGTGCCTTTGATCATTTTCTTTTCTTCTTCGGTAAATTCTGGAAGCCTTGATGATGGATAACCTTGCCTTTTACTCATGGCAGCCACCCGGGACTTGACGACTTCAGGGTAATCACCATCGATGAATATGGGTTTAGCAAAGAAATCCAAGTGAAAGGCCATGGCTCTCTGGGTAGCTTCCTGATCAGCCAGTGAGTTGGGATCGGCCGGTTCTAGCCAGCCAGCAAACAAGGCTATGGACACCATCCCCTTCTGCTCTTTTCGGAAGAAGGAATCATAGCTATGCCAGGATCGGGCATGCGCCTTAATTAAATTATGAGCTGCCTGATAACCTCCGGTCCCCATGCGAGGCACACCTGGAGGAAATATACCTGAATCATAGGCAAACACAGCTAGTAGGCTGGGCTCATTGATAGTGAGCCACTGTTTGACTCGATCCCCAAAAGTACGGAAGCAAAACTGGGCATATTTGTCGAACGAGTCGATGATGGCTTCTGACAACCACCCTCCTTGATCTTCTAAAGATTGGGGCAAGTCAAAGTGGTAAAGGGTCACAATGGGGGTAATCCCATTTGCTATCAAGTCATCGATGATTTTGTTATAGTAGGCCACACCTAGAAGAAAACACATACACACACACAAGAAGAAAATTTATATTTTATACATTAGTAATACAGTTTAGAGAGGAGGAGATTAGGAATCATTTCATAAATGACTTTCAGGATCGGGGTCAAATCTTCCCACCTAATAGACCATGTATTGCATTGGGAAACGGTGGTCAAAGACCTCTTTTAAAAGCCACTATGTCACTTTGGGGACTAAGGTTCCCCTAACCCAAGTCATTAACTTTTCAAACACCTCATGCACATTTGAAAGCTTGACAATGAAAAAGAAAAGTCAAAAGATAATGGACACATTTGAAATATGGTGTTGACAAAGAATATTGGCTATATTGCGACTGCCAGAAGGAGACCTGCTGGTGCAGTGGTTATGTGTTGGGCTTCGACCTGCAAAGTCAGCAGTTCTAAAGACAAGTCTTTCTTCTCCCTAAGGAATTAAAGTCTCTGCTTTGGAAACTCATAGAGACAGTTCTACCCTGTCCTATAGGGTCACTATGAGTCAGCATCAATTCGATGGCAGTGAGTTTGGGCTGGATATTTGGTGACTACCAGAGGAACAAGCAAATCAACCTTGGAGAAAACACAGCTAGAGTGCTCCTTACAAAGAAGGGTAGTGAAACGTTGGCTTATTTTGCACACTTCATCAAACCAGGACTTTGAAACAGTTCAGTCTTGTTTCTCTGTGTGGTAGTGAAATGCTTTATGTCAACCTGAAGACTATATGAGCATGTAGTGGTGGGATACCTTGGGGGGGGGGTGGCCTTCTCATAAGGAAGACCCCAGAATGTCCTTCTCGTTTTCCCCCTTGGCCTTCCTGCTTCCTGGGACTCTTGGTAACTGACCCTGAGAGTTGCCTGAGCCCTGCCAGTTTCCACTGACCTTGGATCCACTGGAGTTTGCACCCACCAGCCTGTGATGTTCCTGCCTTCTGCATCATTCTATGTGGCTGCATGAGTCTGAAGGGGACTTATGGACTCGTATCAGATTTATGGACTGGATTTGGAGTGGCCTGGAAGGTTTTCATGATATATAATTACTTCCTAATATAAAGCTCTTTCTTACACTAATATGAGTGTCACTGGATTTGTTTCTCTAGTCAACTTGGCCTAACACACTCTCTTTGCTGAGAACTTCTAATTTTACTCCCACATAAACTGAATCAGACTCTGAGTACATTTCAACACAATGCCAGGATGATTCTCACAGGCCCTCGGGTGATTCTTATGTATATCTGTATCTGGGAAACTTGCTAAAATATAGATTCTGACTGAGCATATCTGGGGGTGAAAATGTCCATTCTCAGCAGGGGGTCTAAGGGTTAAGAACCCTGGCTCAAATATGCCGATGTGATAAAGATAGCACAGGCTTGGGCAATGTTTCATATATAATGTCACCATGAGCCAAAGCCAACTTGACAGCCACAAATAACAACAGATAACATCAATTTAAGCCTTGGAAGAAACATGAAGAGTTCTAAAAATGACTGATGCAGGACTGACATCAGAATGTGGTGATCACACCAAAAGGTACATGCTCTAAAACTTTGGGGCAAGCTGCTAATCACCACATAATTTGGGGTTATTTGGACAATTATTGAAATTATCATATTTTCTGGCCCACTTGTTCTGTTTGTTTGTTTTTTGTCTCTTAGCCCCTCTGGACCACAGGCGCTTTACAAACCGGCCTATTGCCTATTTCACCTCTGCATTCCAGAATTCTAGACAAGTTCCAGAACTTGAATAGACAATCTCTGTTGAATGAATGACGAGGTCTCGACTCTATTAAATCTAAAGTAAAGGAATTGAATCAGATGACTGCCTCAGAAGACTAGGGAAGAACGCTCGCAGCATCTGTCTTAGAAAGTGGGCTACAAGGGCAGCTAGCCAGTGGTATGGAGAGTAAGAGGTACATGGGTGAGGATTTGTCCTACAATTCTAACATAGTCCAGGGGAATATAAGCTGCCCCTGGAGATCAGCTAGTCTTCACGGGACTGGGGGTAAGAGAGTGCTTTAGGATAACTGCAGAGGGAAGAAGAAGATTCTTAACTTGGAGGTGCTCTGCCTCAGGAAAGATTGCCAATAAGATGCTAGGTCCATCACGTGACTTTGTGTCTAAGAGTAGGGAAGAGAGTAGCTGTCCTGTTAGACGCTGTTTCCTGAGCGTCAGTTACCATCACGTTGACTCCACATGATGACAGTTTTACAGATGACAGAATATTCCAATTGTGCTCAACAAGATTTTCGAAGGTTGCCAATCTTTGGGAAGTCAATCACTAGACTTTTCTTCCCAAACATGACTGGTTGAACTCGAGCCTCCCAACTTCCGTTTCGCAGGCAACCACACAGAGGGGGTTTCCACAACCCCGGATTACATATTCAGATAGAGAATCATTTACTATTGAAAATTTGCCTACAGGAACAACATGTTTCCCTTTTCATTAAATTTATTATCTTTCTATTTAATATATATAAATAGATATCATTTAGATTTTTGGATGTATTTCATTCGTTCCGTTTTTCATTCATTAAATGCATATTTATTTAGCATATACTATATGTTGGATATGCAAATATGAACAAGATATATACTGTTTTTGCCCTCAAAAAGTTAAAATTTTAGTGGGGACTACAGATAAATGATTATAATAACAGAAATGTAGAGTCCTATGGAAGAACATGATAAGAAGTGCTTACCCCAAACTTGGGGACATTTTAGAAAATATCCTGAACACAGTGTAGCAAGATAGCTTCAAGAGTGGGCTATGGTTCCCTGCTACCTGAATACCTATCCCAAAGTCCTCCACTCCATGAGTGACCTTTGGTAAATTACTTATCGTATATACTCGTGTATAAGCTGCGTGTTTTCAGCACATTTTTTTAATGCAGTTTTGGTGGTGAAATTAGGTGCCTTGGCTGATATTCAAGTCAGCTTATACTCGAGTATCTAGGTATTTCACCAAATTCCCCTGCCCCCCATGTCACACGAGAGTAACAATAGAATTCTACTTCTGTGAATTATTATGAACATTTAATGAGGTAATAAATGGAACCTATTTGGAACACTTCTTGGCATATGGTAAGGTCTCAGTACACATTTAGCTATCATTCTCATAATTACTATTGTTATTGTTATTATCAGTGTCAACCAAGCTGATACTTAAAAGATGAACATAAATTACATACAGGAGGCAAGGAGAAAACAGTCATCCAGGAAGAAAGAAAAAGGAAACAATTGAGCAAAAGATCAAATGAGATGTGGAAAGACCTTTACACATGACTCAAGTGTGAAAATGGCTCATTTTTTTTCAGCGCTGCATAGCAAGTCCCACACTACCACTTGCATTTGGCAGATACACGAAGCAAGCTTAGGAGTGGGGAAAGCATTACATTGGACCAGAGTGAAGCCTCCAGGTATATCCTGATTGGAAGCTGTCAGCTTGGGGAAGCAGGAGGCAGGCTCCACTAGAAACAAGGCATCCTATTGATTTGAGGAGCCCATTTGACTTCCCAGCGGAATCTTCAGCGGGAAGCAAGGCAGAAACTAGAGAGGTTGTTGGAAATCGCAGAACACGTTCTGCTGGGATGATTGTTACAACATTGTGCTTTGGCTCTCTGTGCTCTTATTGTGTTCAAACACTTACAGCTGTTTATGGCCTTCCCATTGTTTATTTGTATATCCACAGTCTCAGAGGAAGGCACTGCTTCTAGGTAAATCCAATGTCAGCTTTGCTTTGTTGAACTCGTTCACTCTGCACCAAATGCCATGCGTCTTGTTTAACCCTGGCCCTAATTTGGGGGTGGGGTGGGTAGAAGAGCTGCCACTGAGTCCATTGCAACTCACGGCATCTCTGTTTGTGTCAAGGCAGAACTGGGCTGCACAGCCCTGTCAGTGGCTGGGATCTTTCAGGAGCACACAGCCAGGCCTTTCTTCTCAGGTCCTCTGGGTAGACTCAAATGACCAATCTGTAGCCAACCATACAAAGACTCCAAACCCCGAGAGGTGGGCATTATTTCTCCCCTGGACCAGAGGAGGAAACTGAGATGAACTGAGTGTGAGTACCTGCGAAAAGGGTGCAGAGGCCATATCTGACCTCTTCCGGCTTCAGTGGGAGAAGGAGAATCCATCGCCGCCACATCTGCCCAAGGCCAATGCCACAGAGAAGAGGTCAGACAGGCCTCCAGCCTCCATATGTCTCCTCCTTCCTCCTCCTCCTCCTCTTTCTTATTCTTATCTTCTTTATCTTATTCTGACACCAACTGTTCCTCCCACATCACTCTTCTTCTGGGTCTAATAATCCATGGCAATGGCCACACAAAACTTACAAACAATACTTACAATTACGGGAGTACAATCCTGGTTCTAGGGAAGCTAACTGGTTACCAAAAGCCAGAATCATGAGATACCAAGGATACAGTCTTTCATCCACAGCAAATATCTCTCCTTCGCCAAAAGCCAACTTTTTCTCTCTCTGTCCTGACTCTCCCAGCCATACGGTCCTTCAGTCTCGGCCTCTGTGGACCAGGAAGCCTGCCTGCAGCTCTACCCCATCTCCTAATCTCAGCACTGCTTCTCTGCTCTATGTCATGATCTTCTTGCTTCAGTCTCTGGTCTGAGTGCGGCATGGCCACTTCCGGCAGGGATTTCAAACATGCTCTGCTGATGGCTCCTCTTCCCGGATGGTCCTAGGGACTCTCTCCCTCTGCTTCTGAGATGGGCCTCTCTTGTACACAGGGGACTGGCAATTACATCTGACCAATCCCCTCTATAAGTATTTCACACCATTAGCACAGTCCCACCCAATCATTTGATGGGATTTACAGAAACCTGGATAGAAGAGCCATGCTAAAAAAGTTCACCTCACCGCAGCAACATACTAAAATTCACAATGATTTAAATAGCACTGCCACATTTAAACTCGCACTAGAGCTGCCACACTAGGAAGACTGAGCTGTCCCCACTGTGATTCACAGCTCCTCGTGTTTTCTAATGCTTC